GAGAGAGAGAGAGAGAGAGAGAGAGAGAGAGAGAGAGAGAGAGGGAGGGTAAGGAGGACAAAGAGTCCACAGAAAATCTCTCTTAAATTTCTACCTCGTTCCGTTTTCGTGTTTTTGTGTGTGTGTTTTCCAATTCACATCGGTTTTGCAAATGGATTCGATTGAATTCAGGTAGAGTAATTCGGATCGAAATTGACTTTCATTAAGGCTATACTCACATGCGGACGTTGGTTCGTGCATATGGCTGGTATCACGGCCAGGTTCATTTCAAAACGTGCGTATGCGTACGCCCGAAATTCATTCACATGCACATTACACATGATCTGAAGTACGCTTTCTTTTTCAGTTTCCTGATAAGATCATGCGGGTATCTGGCCGGCATTACAGTCAAGTACTTTTCAAAAGGTGATATATATATTGTCACATTGTGAATCAGAGCGCAGAAGCGAAAAAAAGGGGAAAGAAAAAAAAGAAAAGGAAAAAAGGGGAAGGGTGATATATATATCGTCACAATCATCATACACATTTTTTTGTGACGATATATATATACATATTTTAATGCCAAAAAGGTGATATTTTTAGTACTCCCGAAGTTCATTTACATCTACATTGTATGTACGTGATCTTCTTAACTATGTTTTTTTCCTTTTTCTTTTTCTTTTTCTCTTTCTTTTTCTTTTTCGCCGTTTTTTCTTTCTTTTCTTCGTCATTTTCCTGACGAGGTCCTTTAGAAGCCGTCTTCGACCGTCCCCACCGAAAAACACACGTATACAATCCGTTCCGCCTTTTATATACATTTTATTATTTCTACAAATTTATACGAATTTTAAGTCGCTATTTATATACACATGCAAATCTAAGCTGCCAGGTATATATTCACAAATCAATTCGTAAAAAAATACATATATATATATATAATATTTTTATTGATACATATATATATATATATGAGCCGGGTGAAACTTCGTGGAAACAGTCCGTCACAGACGCTCGTTTGCTGCCCCTTTATCCCTCTCTGCCTACCGTTCACCGAGCAGCTCTCTATGACGATATATATATAGATATATATATATATACACAGCCCCTCGTTTGTTGTCCTCTTCTCCCTCTCTGCCTATGGTTTACCGGGCAGCCAGATTTCCCGATATGTAGATATGTATTAATAATACATTTCGTATATTATAATTTATAGCTGTTTAGTTGCGATTTTCTATATTATAATATCATTTATATATCAAATATTTATTATATTATTATAAAGATAAGAAATGCAAGTCGTAGGTTAATCACGCGGGAAAAACAATCACCCTGAATTCGTCATCATACAGAACTGCAGATACTGACCGGGATCGCAGTCGAGCCACACGGCGCGCTTTACACGTGCCATTGCCATAGCTGCTGGATTGATGACGCCCGTTGATTGGTGGTCCCCAATCGCGGATTAAAAGCCGTCGATTCGGTAATTGAATTGATATCGACGGACGGCTGTACGGACGGCTACCGGTAGGCATACATGGCCACGAAGGGCGACACAACAGTACACGTACAATTAATAAGCTGTCTCTTATACACATCTAGATGTGTATAAGAGACAGCCCCCCCCCTCCCCGGAACTACTTACTGGGGGGATAATCACACTGGCACATTTTCTATTTCTACTCGTAAGCACTTGGACTTGATTGCCGTCGGATTCATTTAATCGCGGCCCTTATTGGGGTCCGATACATTCATGAAAGTGACAGTCTGCGGATGCCCTAACTGTGCAGGACGGAGAATGTATATTCCAGTAGAATCCATCATGATACAACCACCAATTTTTCTGTCGATTTCACATTTGTCTTTTTCTTTCATTCTTCTCTCGATTTCACCTTTCATATTCGACCTACCACTACTCCTAAGCCTATACAGGGGACCCACTGAGAAACATAAAACATACTCACACTAGCACACTGGACGGAATGCTGGCCAGATGCAGACAGCGCCCGCCGTAAGTGTGAGTACGCACACAGGGCCGGCCCTCTGTACATTTTTTTATTTTTTTTTAAGGCTCCCTCTGTACACACTCAGGCCCCGTGTACGTGTATAGTGGGAGAAAAAAAAAAAAAAAAAAAAAAAAGAAGATAGTGCTTGTGTGAGTACGCCCTGAGTCTCAAAAAAAAAAAAAAGAAGTAATAGATAGATAAATAGATAAAGTACTGGTGTGAGTACGCCCTGACCAGCGCAGATTAATAGATAGTGCTTGTGTGAGTAATAGATAGTGCTTGTGTGAGTACGCCCTGACCAGCGCAGATTAATAGATAAAGTATTGCACTCAGATAAACTCGATGCCAAGACTTCATCTATCACCTCTCCTCCAATCACTAGTAACATGATTACCGTACTTAACCACCCGGAAGACCCATCTCTCCCCCAAGCTGAAGACTCGAATAAATTATGTGAATATGTAAAAATTTTCTACCAGCAGCTACTCACCTCAGAGAAACCTCCCAATTTCCCAATCATACCGCCTCACCTAGAAAACTTTTTATGGAAGTCCACTACCAAAATTCTGTCTGAACAGCAAGCCTCTTCACTCGAATCCCCAATCACTCTTTCCGAGATCACTAAAGCACTCAATAGTATGGCCAAGGGCAAATGCCCGGGCCCCAGTGGTCTAACGGTAGAATTCTATACTAAGTTTTGGATACTCCTCGCCCCGGACATCCTAAGAGTCTTTAATCAAATCCTTAAAGATAACCCCCTGGGGCCTAATACTGCGGAAGGAATCATCACCCTTCTCTACAAGAAGGGAGACAAATCTGACGTGCGGAACTACAGGCCCATCTCATTGCTTAACGTACATGGTAAAATCCTAGCTAAAACCCTGGCACTTCGGTTAAAACCCCTTTTGCATAAACTAGTACAACCTGACCAATCCGGTTTTGTACCTGGTCGACAAGTTATGGACAACGTCATGACGATATCTCAATCCATCGACTAGATTAATCAACACAAACTCAACAAAGTAGTTATCTTAATTGACTTTCAGAAAGCCTATGATAGGGTCAACTGGGACTTTGTCCAAGCCGTCCTAGAAAGAATTGGAGTGGGTCCCGCCTTCAGATCCTTCGTCAAAGCCCTATACGGAGCTTCGTCGGGCAGGGTCCTAGTGAACGGTTTTCCCTCGACTCCCTTTAAAGTCACCAGGTCTCTACGTCAGGGCTGTCCCCTGGCCCCATGGCTGTTTGTGATCCAACTTGAAGTACTCATGAACATGGTAAGACAGCATCCGGACTACGAAGGCCTGCAGATTTCCCCTTCTCACTCCATTAAGGTCTCGGCTCTAGCGGATGACTTTTCCGCCATCTCAGAAAACTCGGTGACATCACTCTCAGCCCTAGAACAATGCATCTCTACGTACGAACTGGCCTCAGAGATGAAGATCAGTTGGCAAAAATCAGTAGCACTCACTCCTAATGGTGAGCCATTGGCCTTAGATTTGGGCATCACAGTTAAGCCCCGTGCGGCGGTAGAAAGATACCTGGGTATTCAGGTATCCTTTGGGGACTCAGCAGCCGTCCAAAACTCAATAATGGGAAACAGAATTAGAGATACGTGTGCCAGATGGTCCAGATCACGCTGCCTGTCGATCTTCGGCAGAGCAATGGTGATAAACACTTTCATATCCTCTAAGTTATGGTTTATCCTATCTATCTGCGCTCTCCCCCCGAGTACAGCGTGTAATGTTAGGCACCTCCTATCCCGTTTCCTTTGGAAAGGAGACTCGGAGGCTCAATCGGTTTTATCTAAAGTCAGTTGGACGAAAATAACAGAAAAACAAAAACAGGAGGGCTTGGGGGTTCTTGACCCAGAATCTCAAAACAGAGCGCTGCTGGCAAAATGGCCAGTCAGAGCGTTGACTGCAACAGAGAAACAACCCTGGATCATGCTGGCCCAATACTCCTTGGCACACCAATGGGGCCTGTCTAACCCTGATGCAGTTTGGGATGCACTACTTATGAAACCGTTCACAGCCCGTCCCGCAACTAAGTCCTGGGAAGGGATACTCAGAGCATGGGGGAAAATGCTCCCCCAGCGCCTGGATGAACCTTCCACCTCTGAGGAAATTCTCAACTCTTGTCTCTTTGAAAACACATATATTATTAATCAATCGGGTACTCCGTTCTCAGTGGCTAAGGACACCGGAAACTTCGGCAGAAAATGGATGCAACGAGGCGTTTGGCGCATCCGCCATATTTAGGACATTGACAAAAAAAGTTGGAAGAATGCAATACAACTCCGACAACAGCTAGCGGGCCTCCATCAAGTAGAATCTCGTCTGGCTGAATTGGTTGCGGCTATCCCCCCGAAGTGGATCAATATCATTTCCAACCAGTCGAAGACCTACAAGGAACAGCAATGGTTCCAATCAGAAACCACGCCGACCCGACTTTTCAAAATTGAAGAAATCCGTTCAGATGGTGTGATGTTGGCCTCGGAATGGACACTGGACAACTCAGACCTCCAACAGCTCAACCACTCTATGCCCACATGCTTGCTAGGTATGCAGGAGATAACAGTTCACAAGACTTCAGACGGTTTTATTACCAAGTCCTTGGCCCAATCCACCGCGACACAGGACTGGAAACCAGGCACGGGTAAGTTCGGCTGGAAAATTTCTGTTCCAGGCAAAGAAACCAGGAAGGTCTCGGTACAAGACTACTCCTCCAAGTTAGGATATAGTCTTCAGTCTGAAGCCCACTCCATTCAAGCTGGTCTATCTGTAAATTGGCAGCATAGGGCAGCATCTCTGAAGCTCAGCCCAATATCCCAATCCTGGGTACTCTTCTTTATCCAACTTCTGCTATCATCATTGGAAACCAAAGTGGGGGGTCTTTAATGGTTGCATCTTCATTCCTGCACTCCCACAACCCTCTGGTGCTCACAGAAAGGTATCTGTGTCAACAGTCTGCGAAGCCTGTGTCCATCCATCTCAAGAAGATTGGCTACATCTCTGGTGGGAATGCGTCATTGCTAGAGGTTTCTGGGACTTTCTCAACTCGACCTGGGAAAAGGCCTACGCTGTTGCTGACTTCTGGAACCAAGACTTCGTTCTCACAGGCAGAGTGTCTCCCTCCTTTAGAAATCAGCAGGTGTAAACTGTGGCTCAGATATTTAGAAGAAGAGCTTTCCGGTACTTACGGATTGCTAGGAGAGACAGGAGATTTCTGAACTCTAACCCACCGTTTTCATCCCTGATTTCCAAATTCAGACACTCTCTCAGAACAAAAATTGCTGCAGAATGGGTCCAAATAAAAAAGAGGACTGGAGACCATAAGATAGCTAAGGAAACGTTTGAAAGGAAATGGTCTTGCCCCTTCAAGTGGGCAGGGTTAGCCACGGATAACAGTATCTTCTACATAGAGTACCTATGGGACTATCACCGCAGTCCTGGTTCTTCACCTCTCACAACTGACAGCTCATCGCTGAGAGGGACTAGCGGTGATGATGGAGTCACTGACGGAACTCAGTGTTGATTACTCTGCTAGACAGTGAGATATTCAGCTAGGTGCCTAGTGCACCTGTAGGCAACGGGAAGATTAGAGATGGGATGTTTGGATGGGAAGGAGATTGCCTTTGCTTGTAATAGTGGCATGCTTTTGAGAAGGGACACTGGACCCGGTTTCCAGGAGCCTACAGCTGGGTAAAGGCCCAAGCATGTTTTCAGTGCCGGGTTGTATTGTTGAGGTGTATTCCGGGCCTCTGTCTCTGCTTTGAAATACAACATCTCAAAATTGCAAAAAAAAAAAAAAAAAAAGAAGCACCGTCGGAGTGTTGCGCCGAAGCCCTGTTTAGGCAAAAGAGGTCAGGAAAACCTCACAATCAACCCGGAGGAAAAACTGGGGCCATTACCCAGCTTAGGCTTGTGCTGGAAACTGAATCCAGCGTCTCGTACTTCCTGTCATAAAAACTTCTACCAAATAACCCATGAAAAAAAGGCCGTCTAGGGCTGTATCCCTAAGTCTTCGGTATTTCCAGGAGCATTACCCTGCTCCGCTGCTTGAGAGTCTATCTGCGACTCCCCGTTCCTCGCTGTGAACATCCCTTCCACTCCTAATCTCCTAGTCTGTATTCCCATGTCATCTATTCCTCAGGCCCTAAGCCACGGGCCTATTTCCATCTTTAGATCTGTATTAACTGTAGACAACCGATTGTCAATCGCCCAGGTCGTCAAGAACCAAATCTTACCTTTTTTCTGCCAATCTGCCCACATTATTCTCCTTATCTCTACTTTTACCGTGTTCTCCATCTGTTTCGCTGACCAGTGTTCATCCTTAAACAGGGCGTCGTTCCTGACCTGCCACAACACTCTCATGATTATACCTCTGCAAGTCTGGATTTTTAAAAATTCTTCTCTCAATCTTTTTTTTTTTTTTTTTTCCTCTCAATCTTCTCTTCTTTGTATATGTATTATCGTCACCTCATCTAAGTATAGTTGGGGGGAACACGAACCAAACCTGGGGCGTAGTCCCA